AAGAAGAAACATGTTATTTCAACAAAAAAACATCAAATATGAAGTGTCATGCAGGGAATTCTGGGAGTGTCAATTTACATTTTTTCACTGTAAATTATACAATGAATTTTTCTTGAGTATTACAATGAGTATTTTACTGTAAAATCACATTAAATGTAATTACATGTATTCACCGTATATAGAACATTCTTCCACCGTATATGGAAACTTACTGTTAACAGGTTTTTACTGTAGCATTTTTACAGTGTAGATGAAAAACAATCTCATACCATAAGTGTGTGGACATGTTTGAAATCCTACATGATACTGTTCTGCGTAGTATTCCTAAAAGATCTTTTACATTTACTAAATCCCAGAAGTGAATGTTTGGCTAGTTAGCATGGAAATGTTGTCTGGCCAATTAGTGTCACCTCCTTAGAGCCTGCTGATATTACAGTCTTTTACTGTTAAAATCACAACCATTTTTTACAGTGTATTTAATAAACATTTTGCACACAAATAGTTGCAAAAACAACAACTATAAGTACTTTTTTTTTTTATTCGAATTTTTTTTTCCTTTGGATTTTTGGTTTAAATGTGAACTTAGATGTGATGGCATTTAATTTACACTAGCAGATTCACTAGTGTCTATTCTGATGCACATGGCAGCTCTGTGTGTGTGTGTGTGTGAGTTAATGGAAACATGCTAATCTGAACAAATTTAGGTCATGAGATCAGCCACATTAAAGACCCTGTAAACAAACAAGAAAATTAGGCACGGGTCACACACACACACACGCCTGTGAACATCAGACTGTGCGTGAGAATACTGTAGTGATCTAATAAGTGCATGCATTATTATTTAATCACCCATAAGAATCAACGAGGGCTCCCTGGGACAGACGTCTGAAGTCATCACTGGAGATGAAGATAATGCCAACAATGATGATGACGATGCATCTGCTTTGGGAGCCTGTGGGGGGCAGAGCTCTTTTGAGGCTGGATCATGTGACCAAGCTGACTTCCTGCCCCCAGAGGAAGAGACTCAGGGGCCCTCGGGTGGCCCCAGATGGAGCTGGAACGACGTTCAGGAGAAGGACCCCGAGCGATACCTGCACCGGATCCGACACTGAGGCAGCAGAGCGGCATCCAATCAGATTACTGCCTGAGAGACTCGCTGTCACCGTAGATTTACTTGAAGCCACTGCCTCAATCAAACACTAGACTTAATCGAGCAACGATCAACACTACAGCACCTGCAACGGCCAGGAAGGCACATTAACAATAATCCCGCAGGATTACACTCCTTTTATACCTTAACACACTGTTTACGGGTTTGTGCCATTCTTTCATCCTCAGACCTGATCGCACAATAACAGTCAAACACTATTATAAGGATAGTTCACCCAAAAATTACAGTTCTGTCTTAATTTACTCACCCTCATGTTGTTACAAATCCAAATGACCTGCGTTCTAATGCAGAACACAAAAGGAGGTGCTCATGCTGCTCTTTTCTACAATGACAAAAAATCCACAGCAAAACTATTAAAAATACAACAACTTTTTTGGAGCAAATCTTGCAAAACCTGTAAAGAACAAGTCTAGGTCACATTATACCCAAAGGCAAAAGCAGTGAGATAACGTTTTTTCATAAAGCAAATGAAGACAAACAAAACATTACTTGCAATGCAATAATGATACATTATTCATATTGTAAACGTATTTATGCTAAAAAAAATATTGTATTTCAGTAATGATAGTCACCTTTCATGCAAGTAGATGTAGTTAAGTGTCTATGAGTGAACTGAGGCAGTTAAACTCCAAAAAAAGAATGCATAAAATCACCAAAAAAATGGGATTTATATATTTTTGTCATTTTTTGTGTCTGTGCCCATTCACTGTCACTGCATTCATACTCATTGTAATTATTTTATACTGAAAAGAGAAAATCATAGTGGTTTGGAACAACATGTGGGTGAGCAAATGACAAGATTCTCTTGTTTTTTGGGTGGCGATCTGTTCCTTTAAATGCATTGATTTAAGTCTCATAGACACTTCCAGAGCACTATCAGCTTTTATTTTGTTTCGTTTATATGAATGTACGGGGCCGAAGAGTGCTGGGTTTCTGTTATTTAATGATATGTGCTTGTATTTGGTTCCAAAACACTAGTTTCTCAATAGTCCTCATCTTCAGGGAGCATTCTGCCTTCCAGTGGTGTTTAATGGTCAATATCTAAAAAATATAAAAGAACGTGTTTGCATTTACTGCAGTTCTCTTCAAATCATTAGTGTTGTTTGTTTTAGATACAAATAGTCTGTGGTAATATGTAAACGATGCATACGTAGTATCACCTGTAGATGTATGCTGGACACTATTAGTGTTGATTATTTAACGTCTTCTTCTGTCACTCAGACAGACAGTTACAAGCAATATGGATGAAAACATGTAGCTGAAATCAATGAACACTAATACATGCACAAGAACAAGTTATTTTTCTCCTCGCCATTAAGCTGGAGCTTCCAATTAAACTGCTTTTGAAATAAAACTTGAGTCTTTTCTTTTATTGAGTACCGCACGGTTATAATTTTAGCATCTTTCATTAAATACATTACATACAAATCATACAGTTCATTGTCGCGTTTTAAGGTCAGTTTTGTTGACACCTGTGAATGCATTGTTAAAAAAAAATTACACTATCTTCAATTTTCAAATGAAATCAAACAACGAACAAAAACACAAAAAGAATGATGCCACTGTGAGAATGGAACGTTCCAGTGTTTCTGCACGCGCTCAGTAGAGCGCCGAGGTGACTCCGTCTCCAGGTTATGAACGCCAGACATGCGAGCAAAAAAAAAAAAAAGAGAGAGAAAAATATAATGCTAATGGAAAAAAAAAGCAGGAGAGAATGTGACTTTTCAACGAAAAACAAAACTACCACAAGAAAACTCTGACCAGAAAACGCTCACGAATGATGCAGTTGAGCAGCGTGCCGCACAGCCGTCGAGCAGAAAGTTTCTCCTTCATCGCCTTATCGACATGCAGGTCATTCCGAACGCGGCTGTGTGTGTTCATACAGTGTAACAGTAAACAAGGCAATGCTTTCCTTCAGAATTATGTGTTTGTCATCAGTTATTCCTACTCTTGTTTGTTCCCGAAATCCCACCGAAAAACGCAACTAAAACCAGGCTGTACACACGCATGCAAGCCCACATCACCACCAGGTGAAGAAGGGTCTTCTGCTCTGGAAGCTCTGTGTGTAGGATTCGCTGTTGGCTCGCTGCGGCGCTCGTGCCGTCTCCACGATCACCGGCGGCATCTGCACCAGCTGCAGCGGGGTCTTCTCCTCCCTCAGCGCCTGACTCAGGTTCAGGATCTAGAGGAACGCAGGACAATAAATGAGCTGAACCATGCCGAATCATAAGGTGGTTTTCATTCAACTGCCCTGCTCTCGTAGGCCTCCTTTCACATCAGTGTGAAAATGTAGTAAGAGAAGAAAGATACCAAGAATGCGAGCTGCTCTGGGAGTTTAATTAGTGTCAAGCAGCATGAGAAATGGTCATCAATAACTGTAAATTTTTGCAAATTAAGATGAATAGTGTTTGTTCCAACTGTGAACCATATTAGAGTTCATATGAACCCTTTTGAAAACCTTTAAGGGCATTTTCAACATTTAAATAATGTATTATGGCCAAATAACAGGGCTGAGTGATAGAATTTGGTCAAAATGATCTATTTTTTCCCCCATTTCATTCGATGTTGATATTCATTACAATATTCTTTTATACCGTTAGTGGGTAAGGATATGCATTCCACGTTTGTTAGACCTCAAAAATGACTACGAACATGTTTGTTTACAAGTAAACTCCACAGAAAGCTTTTAATTTAGGGCCTTATGAAACCACTTTTATTTTTCACCAAATTCTGTGATTTTGGTTTTATTTTCGCTGGATTCAATATTTTATGATTTAAAGGGGTCATATGATGCTATTTTAAAGATCATTATTTTGTGTATTTGGTGTAACAGAATATGTTGACATGCTTTAATGTTCAAAAAACACATTATTTTTCAAATACTGTACATTATTGTAGGTCCTCTATGC